GTGTGTGTGTGTGTCTCACATTGCTGTTTTCCTGTGTGAGCAGCAGAATCCTGATGCTCTTCATGTTGGAGCTTCTGTCCAGCAGGTCGATTGCTTTGTCCAGGTCATCCTGATTTCGCAGAGGGATGGACAACTACCAGGACACAAGACAAACGCATACACACACACATACAAAATATGAACAAGCACATACCAAGATTCACAAGCATATAAAAGCCTTTGGAAACATTTTGAAATCATAAGGATTTATTGCTCCTCAAATGTAGACTTCCTGCTGAGGGCAGAATGAGTAGGGGAAAGATGGGTGGTGATACAGTACACGAGTCTCCACTTTTTACCTCATTGTTCATATAATGCAGGTCTAACTGCTGGCCAAAGACAGTCTTGACTTTCTGATGGATTTCCTCGAACTGCACAGGTCGTCCAAACATAAGAATCCTGCACACAGACAGACACAGACATTATGAGAGATTTGTACTGGCTGCTAAGGAAGCTGCTTTTGAGTTACATGCACACGAGCAAGAAGAATCCACACAAGCTGCTGCTGTTTTTAGTGTGTGCAAATTCCTCTAAGAGCACCTTGCATATTTGTGGCTTGTGCTGGCAGCCACAGATTAACCACAGTCCTTTCCAGTTACATTCTCCAGCTCACATACCAGTCGGAATTAAGTGCTGGAGTGTGTGTTTGACTCCGAGATGTGCTCTTTCTCATGAACTGGAACATGTGAGAAGAACAGCATGCCTGAGTGAGTTTGTTTATGTCTCTGTGAGTTTATGCCCTCACTCACTTGCGATAGATATACACATGTATGTATATAAAAAGCACACACCCACACAAATGTTAGGAAAAAACCACAGAAAGCAAACTCACCTCCTCTCTCCTGAGAATTCAAACTTCATCCTGACATCGTCCTGAGAGTAAACAGAAACAGCAACATCAAAGAGGTGTAATAAGAAAGGCTGTGCTGATATTTTATAATTATAACCCTAACAAATTAAAGGACCAGCATTACTGTCAGAGATGTGATTTTCCCATAAAGAAAAGAGTTAAAGACTGACCCGACTGTTCGCTGGAAAGACGTATCACTCCACTCTGTATCATTTGTGAAAACCCACTTCCACTCATCACAAGTCCAAAATAACTTACTGAGGTGGGAAAACGATAGAGACTGACTTTCCCAGGGGGACAATCTCTGGTTTTAAGCAAACACTACACTGCACATGAGTTGTCTACTTTGACTATTCTTTGTGGCTGCAGCTGTGGTAGAAAGCAAGGGTGGGTGGGCTACTGGCGACTTTCCCACACGAGCAGAATATATTTTTAGTGAAGACGTTGAAAATAACTGGAATTAATACATTTCAGATGTAGCATAGGTGTGGGTGGCTATGTTAGTAATCTATCTGTCATGCTAAACTAGCTAACTGTGTGGCCTAGGGGAAATAATGTAAGAAACAAGAGTATACCTACATCGATGATACCCAATTAGACAGTTCTTTATTACAGCAGTGGTCCAACATTTTAGCTCTATGGTCATGGGGGGAAATTCTTTTTTATTTTGTCAGCATTTAAGGCCTTCCTGGCTTCTAAATCTAGTGTAATTTATACCAAACACTACTTAAAGACTTTCTGGGTCACCCTCTGTGTTTAGTTTACCTCCACAGTGATGCAAACATGTACAAATGTACAGTTTAGAATTGCTAGATTTTTCATTTAGTTCAGCAAATTTATTGCCAAAAGACACTTCAGCAAAACACACGTCTGTTCATGGAGACAGACATTTGTGGGGTTGAACCTGGGAGCTCAGGGTTTCAGGGTCTAGCTAAACACAAGGCTGCATTGCTTCTTTAGAACTACACTACTGAAACTTTAAATGTATTTCATTTATTTAAAAAAAACTTTTGTTTATGCAAGGAACCAAGATGTTTGAGCTACAGCTCACAGCAAAATCAAAGATTATTTAAATGTAACTGTGACTTATGTGAAGCCTGGATAATAACCAAGGTATTACCCCGTCACTCAGCGGTTTAAATCCTGGTTTATGAGGAAAGTTTTACACAAGCTTGAGCTTTTCAAACCATATGTTTTCTAAAAAGTTCAATATGTGATGATGCAGCAATAGCACACCTGTCTGTTGGCCTGGGCTGGTGTCTTGGGCTTGCCGCTGTCATACGACAACACGGGCTGGCGCCGCGTCATTTGGAGGGCAACCAGGTCCTTCATTATAGAGTGGAGAGCCTGCCTCTCATCTGAAGAGGATAATGGGTAGGAAAAAATACACAATTAAGAGCGTGGATTGGAAAATGGATGGCCTATGCGTGTGTGTATGACAGAAAGAGAGAGATATGAGCCTATTGCACTTCGTTCTACACTAAAAGGTGTGTGCAGACAATTAGTCAGTCATCTTTAACTACAGCCATATGGAGACTATCCTGTGACAGGGTATTAGAAGCAGGGAAGGACTGCAGTGTTTTTGATTTGCCTATTCCCATGTTTGATCTCAGGGAAAGCTCTGCTTTGGCTTGACTAGCTCACGAAGAGAAAATATTCTCCTTGTGTAGCTTGGACAGACATCATAAAGCCCCGGGGCAGCAGAAACAACCAGACCCCCATCTCCACAACGCCGAAAACCAATCCTTCACCCGACAGTGTCTGGGGCAGAAGGTTGTACAGGCTTTGGCCTCGGGGAGGGTGTTTGGTGCGACTGTGTGTGTCTGCTTTTATCTCATGCTGTGAGAAAACCAAGCTCTAAACGTCTGTCTAACATCAGAATTTAAAAGACTTACTCATTGTGACGATATTTGCGTACGTGGTCTAGTCTTTAGAAATGTGCCTCTGCTGTGCCAACCCACCCGCAGCCTGTAGTGATAAAAACAGAAATTAATTAGTCATAAGTAAAGGCATGGAATAACTGAGGTTGGCACTGTTTTGTTAATATTTTTTGCTTGGAGACAGAGCAGAAGGATGTGAGTCATTGAGTCAGACAGGAGATGACATATGACAAAGGTTATCAGCCAGTCTCACAAAACTTGTCAGTATGCAAGTACCTCAGCCCATAAAACATCACCAGGAGGCTAAAAGAAAAAGGAAATCACAGTATGAAACCTGAAGGCTGACATGACAAAGTGGCGGTACTGCAGCAATATTAACTAGCATCTCGCAATCCAGCAATTGCATTACACTATAGAGGGTTTTAATGCGACAATAAACAGTGAACCTAAACCCTTCTTCATGCATAATTCCTTGCATGCATGTAAAAAAAAGTGTAACCTGAGCCTACAGACCTAAAGATTTCTCTGACTGGTGAATGAGAAAGTGTGCAGTGCATGTGAGAATGTGCGTTGTGTGTTTTGCCCATGAAAAAGAATGACAATTGGAAACGGCTGAAATTCCAGCTGCACTGGCAGCGATCAGTCTGGGAGAGTTCATATGGGAAGAATGCTTTTTATGGGGAGTTTTCTGCCATTTTAAATGTCTACCAGCTTTAAACTTTCCCTGATTGCACGAGCTGCAAAAACCCAAACTCAGCTATGTTATAACTCCATTGTTGATGTTAACAGGCCAATATTATCTGCACAGTTCAAGGCGTCAACAGCATTATAAACTGAGGCATTTCCTTCAATGGAGAGGGTTTCCCCAAATTTGTACCAATAAACCACAGAATTTAAACTAATTCAACAAACAAGAACAGAAGAGAACAAAAACTCTGACGTCCTTAAACACAAACATAGTTTTCACAATTATAGTTGACTTTCCACTTCTAACAAAAGCTAAAAAAAGGTAACAGGGATGCACTGATCTGACTTTTTCTCTCTTGAATCCAGTCGCTGTACTCAGGTATCAGCTGACACTGAAATTGATCCGATACCAGAGCTCTCTTTTTCAAACATTTGAAACGTGTTTATCTCACTGCATGAAACTCCTTGGGATCATTTTTATGCACAGTAACTTGAAGCCGGGGACTGCTGTGGTGCTTAAAGCCAATTAGGCGGCCCATTGTGACCGAATGGATGTCACATACGTTGATAAATTAACTGTATATATTGTGGATCTGTCATGTCTGGCTGCTTGATCCACTTAATAAGATCAATATCACTCTCATTTTTAGGGCACAGCATTAGTCCATTATATATATACGTATATCTGTCTGAGTTAAATTGGTAAGCCACATTGTGTCACGATAAATAAGATTGCCAAATTGCATATCAGTACTTTCCCATGACTCGTCTAAAAAGAGAGAGTTCTCTATCAACCCATCAAGTGCTTCACCTTGCTAAGAAATGTACCATGGCAAATCAACCCATGTACACTGGTTCTGTGGTAAGGACAGGACAGATAAATACCAGGATACCAGGATGAACTGAGGATGGATCCTACAGAAGAGGTTGCAACTGTCTCGCTCAGGGTAGAGTTGCACAGTCAGAGCGCTGTCTTAGACGAAAACTCGGAGGCGGGAAACTATTTTTCGGTTTAAGAAAAGGGCAGCATTGGCACCTGAGGCAACTCATTGACTCTGTGGATTTCTGGGTAATAATCACCCACAGGAATGCCGGGCATGTCCGTCCGTGGTCGGCGGAGCGTTGCCACGTTACTTTCAAGCTTCCGCCACTCTCATGTTCCCCTGCCAATGAAGCAGATGCCAAAGGAAAGTGTCCTTCAACGCTTCAAACCTCATACTGAAGTTATGCCATTTTATCCCCGACTAAATAACAGAGTTTATGAGCTGTGAAATCCCCCCACGAGTCACATGGATGTACAGTCACTTCAGGACACTCCATTATCTCCTCTCCACCCACAAAATGTTCTCCACAGAGACTAGTAAAGGTGCTGGATCTGGGGAGAAAAACTCAAAAATGTGCACCTCCAGGGGTCCTTGTAGTCAGCAACACAGCAACTAACGTCTCCATCCATTTCCCCAGCTACCCTCTTCTCTCTCTCCAGCTTCTCCTGATTTTAATTACCTCCCAAGCGGAATGCAGAGAATTCAATGGAGAAGGAGGCTGCGCTCTACCAGTCCAGTCAGCTGTGCCCGCTTTATTTTCCTTGTATCACATTTCTAGGACTAGGAGGATTTACATGGATTTTCCTCCCCCCTCTCTTCTCTGTCTGCTTTGAGAGGTGTTTAGTCTGAGGCTGTTTTTCCCAGCCACAGTTCTTACTCTGTCTCTGGCCAGTGATGCATCTGGACTCACTGCTTCACAGCAAAATCCCCTGGCTTGATGTCTCTCCTGTTTCAGGTGCACATGTGTTTTTGGGTTCAGAGTAAGCCACCACATTTGAATATTGCAACCTCAACAAGACGCGTGTGCTTGCCTTGGCTAAAATTTCAAAAGCCCTTTTGTAGTGTTTTAGTACAAACGTACAGATATATTCAAATAGAAATTTCAAAAGATAAGCCTATGTGCAATCTCAAGTTACATACACATTACGACTGCTCATTCTGCACGCCCAGATAACAATATGCAAAGGTCAAAGAAAAGTGAATAAAGTTTGAAGAGGAGTGATATCTGTGGCCCACATGTGCGTGATCTTTCCGTATACAGGTGTTGACCACAAAGAGCCAAATATATTTTGTCAGCAAAAGAAGGGTGGCCATTACAACCCATGACAGTATCACAGGAAAGGACCTATTTCAAACAAGCATTTTGCAGCTCTGTTTACACATTTGAGACACATTTTTACATCACACATGATTAATCTATCCATTTATAGGTTGCTTCCAACAGAAATGAGTAGAGCTGAGGTAATACCACCACCATTCATGCACAATATTGCAAAAATTTAACTGCTTTGTCTCAGTCAGAAATCCATGGAGATTTCATGAGTTAGAGGGGAGATTGGTAGTGTGCAGTATTAAAGGATAGTATGGGTTTGATAACAAGTAGACATTGCTTCCCTCTTCTTCTATTAACACAAAACAATCACATGAACATATCCAGCACTTCACTTTCCCCCAAAGCACTTTGCTTATACTGTACTTCCATGCATTTGATGCTGCATTCATGTAACATGGAAAAAACTGTAGTAACAGTTGTTACAATGTAATGACTAAAAGCAATGACTCACTGTATGTACAGATTTTACATGTACAGATAAAACCTGACACTAAACAACAACTTGAACTAAGTTATTAATATTTTCTGGTGTGGTTGAAGGTTTGTTTACCTTCAGTAATGCTTGTAAACAATCTTCAATCACCATCAGCTGACAAAACCCAGATCTGCTAGTTAAGCAAAAACCCCTCAAGTATGAACGATTATACCTGTAATGTGTTTCCATAGACTTGAGTTGTTCTGATCCATAACTAGTTCTCTACTTGATTTTAAGTATTTCTTTATTGGTGGTTGCCATCTTCTATCTTACCTTTGCTGCTCTGAAACTCTAGTTCATAGGATGACTTTCTTTCCCTCCAATGATGCTTCATGTAGCAGGAGGACTGCTGTTAATGCACCAGGCATGAGTCACTTCAAACCCATATTCAATTACTCAATCATACAAGCATACAAGAGAATCCATGCTCAGCTCAAATGTCCGTGTGTAAATAAACTCATTACACAGGGTAGAACTACCTGACAGTCCAGATTAAATGTAAATGATTAAAATACATTTTCAAACAGGGGATTGTAGCATAGGGAACACTGAAATCATGTCCCCTGGATTTTTCAAGAGAATTTGAGGGCTTTAACAACTACAGCTTTTTTTTAAATGTATATATCATATAAATATATTTACAATTGACCACTTTGAGGCCAATAAAAAATCTGTATTTCCCCGTAATGATTAAATACCTTTGCGTTAGGAAATTCATTTTCTAAATAACAAAAAAAAAATAATAATCTACATACTTTTAGGATCCTTGTTTTCAAGCAGAAAACTCTTAATTACAAGTTTTTCCAAATGACCTGAATGCAGCATTTCATATACCTGCCTTGTCAATCGCTGTCACGTGCACAAACCCTCACCTGTAGCCGTGACGACCTTTGTCGGGACAACACCTGGGGGCTTCTCCCCTCCCCCCCCCCGTCTCTCTCTCTCTCTCTCTCTCTCTCTTTCTCTCTCTCCGGTCACCGGTGTCTCGCGGCAGAGATGACGCAGTAGGTCCAGCCGCAGCTCAGGTCCATCGGTGCCTCAGTCAGACCACGACCCCGGGGAGTGTGCGTGAATGTGGGGGCGCCATGGCGGGGCTGACCCCCCCAGGTAACAGGGGCTCTTCTTTTTCAGCGGAAAAAAACGAAAGCAGCACACACACACACACACTAAGGGACACTTTTTCCAGGTTGTACAAAAACAAAACAAAACACGCAGCAGACAGCTGTGAGTTAAAGAGAAATAGTTCCGATGGAAAATCCTACATCAGACTGCTCCAGCTGTGCCTCCCACCCCCCCTAAAAAAAACAAACTTCTGCCCCGCTGCAGCCTCTGGTTTCTTCTTTTTCTTTTTGGAAAACTTACATTTCCAAAACATTTTCAGAGGTCACATTCAATAACAACGCGTGGAGCTGTGTCCTCCCCTGCCCATGCCTAAACAAGGTGTAACAATAACCGTGTGGCCTGTATGAAATCCATTTGTGAGTACCAGCTCGCCAGAGGAGGAAAAAACAAAAAGACCCGCACGATTTCCGTGATTTTGATGTCCTCTCTTCCTGCTAAGTTTGCAGATTTTCCTTCACTGTGTTGCCAGGTTGGAGTCCAAAATAGCCCGGGCTGGAGATATGTGCGCGTTTATGACTGCATTGCACATAATGCATCGGACTGCATGTTAAATGGGGATATAAACACAAGCACATAAGACAACATGAAGGCCCATCTGTGGCCTATAACAGCAGCACAGGGGAGTTTGATTCAGTGCGTAAAGACATGATGGAGTTCAGAAAAGTGAGCGCAATGACACTCGGAGGTAAAAACACTACATGCATACGGTTATTAAACACATACACTCGGTTTGTTATGTCAAGAGAAATCAAACTCCATCGGTGTTTACAGTAAACTACACTAAATTGCGGTTCCTGGAGAATTCATAAGAGATCCAAACTGACTTTGTATAAAAGAAAAACAACAACAACAAGCGGTTTCTTGTTTCTTCCAACCACAGAGTAAAACAGCGAGTTGTCTCGCTGTTTCTTGTAGCCAGAGGTAGTCCACAACTTTCACCAACCAAAACAAAGTAAGAAATAATCTGGATACGTCAAACTTCCTGACAGAGAAAAAAAAAAACACATATCGCCACCGGAACCCGCTTTATAAGCTTCCAACAAGTCATGAAAACTGTAAACTCCAAGGTCGCCAATGCTCCACTATCCGTCGTCCATACGTGTGCAATAACATGGATTAATTCCCAAAGGAGGAGGAGGAGGAGGAGGAGGAGGGGGAAGATTTCTTGGTTACTAAACTATCTAAATTAGCGCCGTGCAGCTGCGGGGACGCGCTGTTACTCGGTCGAAGTCTTCTCCGCGGGAGCGCGCACGATATTATTAGTGGGGCGGACCGACGCGTGACGTAAGTTCAGGTTTATGTTGCCTTCACACGTCCGAGGAAAAAGTGGGAGTTTCATTTTCTAAATGTTTTTGTTGCTCTTCTAAAGGCAGCACCATTTAATTAAAGTCATGAACTGTGGTAGGAGGGAGTAAATCACTTCATTAAATCAACAACTCAATGTTAGACATCAATCAAATCCAAACTCATGCGCTTCTAAAAACTTTAAAAGGGGATTTTCTTATGCGGCTATGAAACTAATAAAATCATTCACAACAAAAGATCGATAGAGTCATAAGATAAGGCTACTAAGACCCAGTCATCAAGGATAAGTACTTCCAACCCCTGCTGATTAAGACTGGTTTAACTTTCAACCTATGACGCACTAACTATTATCTTTAAACTGCACATGTACAGTTTGGTTGTTTAGTTATACGCTGCTTTAGATATTTTCCATTATATTTTATAGAAAATATTTATTTTGTGATTCTTTATTGTACTTTTACACTTCTGTACTTTTTGCACTATATTCCTCTGTCTGATTTGATATTGATACCGGGATCAATAAAGAACAAACCATGGGGATGAGGCAAATAATAAAACTAAAACACAAAAATTGAGACACTAGAGGTGAGCTGTTGCTATTCTACAGTGGTAGGAGGAAGTAAATCACACACAACAAATCCCTTAATTAAATCAACACCAGCAACTTAATCAACTTAAAGCTATGAAATCAATCAAATCCAAACTCAAGTGCTTTCTAAAAACTTTAAAAAGTGATTTCTTATGCGACTATGAAACAAATAAATATACAAAATATCAGTCTTCATTTACAGTGTATACAGCATTTACAGCATTTAACATACATGAAACCATATTTGTCCTCTGCATTTGACCCATCTGATATACATTACTATACACATTAGGAGCAGTGAGCAGTTAGGGGTTAAGTTGCCTTGCTCAAGGGCACCTCGGCAGTGCACACCTCTCCAGCTACCAGTCCACACTCCATACTGTGGTCCCTGTGTAAAATCATTCACAACACGAGATCCATACAGTCATAAGAGATAGCTATTAAGACCCAGTCAGCCCAACATGCAAGGATAAGACTCAAAGTGGTCAATAAAATAAGAACAAACCATGGCGATGAGGCGAATAAGACTAAAACATAAAAATTTAAAACAGCAGCTTTTTGCCACTGACTTGAAGCCGTTAACAGTGGTGGAGGAAGTATTCAGATCCATTCAATAAGACATTGAAAATGTTACTTAATGCTTCGATTATTTGGGAATATGGCGCCAAAATCTGATACTGAATCATAAAAATTAGCTTATGTTACAATTTTGCAGAACAGTAAAAGTTTATACATTTATAATTTACCCATACAAGAATTGAACATGTTGATCCCTGATTGCAAGTTTTCAGTCAGAAATATTAAAGGAATTCAAGAGTTCAGCCATCTTTACATCAATAAACACACAAACAAAATCACTTCATTAAATCAACACCAGCATTTTATTTTTTCTCCAAAAAGCATGTAAAAAATAAAAATAAGAGAAAGAAAATGCACAAAATGATTGTGTATATTGGTGTAGAAAGGGGGCGCTTACATTTTAAAATGTTACACTTCTATACCACAACTAAGCAATAGAGAGAAGAAGGGAGAATAGAGGAGGGAGAGAGACTGCAAACACAGTCCAAGCGTTCTTTTGCTGTAAGGCCACCTCAATCCACAGGTCAAGTCTGTAATACAGAATACATTTTTCAAAGATGCATACATTTAAAATGTCTCGATGACAACAGCATTGAAAAGGAAGTCCACATCAAGTTTAGCACAAAAATGAAATGACTCACAGGTTAAACATTTAAAACGTTACACTGCAATCATTCACCTGAGCCACTTGGCACCAGTGTAAAGTGTACCTTGTCTGCTCTGTTACACTTAACAAGTTGCAATTCACAGATTCTGCAGTTGTACCTTGGCGAACTGCTAACGGAGAGTGACAAAGACAGCATTTCTAGATACAATGTTCTTGATTTTAAAGCATTCTCAGGGACCCAGAGGACCGTTTTAAAATGAAAAAAAGGAAACTATAAAATATACATTGTCACACACAGTAGAACCAGAGTTATTGAACATTACATGAGGATAAAAAGTGGTTAGATAGGAAACAATGGCTGCTGGTTGAGTGAAGTAATCCTATGTTAAAGAGTGGGGCTTCAGAGTAAGCAGGTTGGTTTTTGAAAAGGCATGATCAGGAGATTTCTTTGTAAAAGATCTATGTACTCAAAGATCTTGTCTGAAATAAACAATAAAAGGTCAACTATTTATTTCTAAGGCTTCTCTTTTCAAAAAAGTAGCAAATATCCATCTGTTTGAGTTCAGCTTTCCATTCTGCACAGCATGCTTAAATTCACAGTAAACCTTCAGTCACAAAAAGTACTTTGTGTCATTCAAGTGTCAGTCAGGTCTCAGCGGTATTCAGACATTTTCTAAAACGAGATATTTGAATGGCTTTTGACTCATTCTTTGAGTAGAATGAAATATAGATGTGGAAATCTTGTCTAACTGGGTTATTTCACTTAAGTGTTGGAATTAAATAAGATAAAAAGTGGCTGGAGTGCAGCAGCTGCACTGCAGACCGAGGCAACGTATTCCAAAACTTTGAATAAAAGGCTACGTTGAGTTCACGGGCAAGTCATTTTTCTTTCCTCTCACACTAGACGCTACTGTCACACTCTCCCCAGCAGGGGGTGCTCTGCACTGGGTTTAGCATGCAGCATGCAGGAGCACATCAGGAGGACCAATACTGTGACAAACCCTCCCTCAGACATCAACTGTAGTTTCAGGATTAAGAAATAGGTCCAGGTGCTAAGGTGTATTTAGCTAATAAGACGGGACTTGAGAACAGGAAGGCATTTATCTAAAAGGGGAAACCTGTCCACGCTTACTGGATGGGATCGGGAGGGAATGAATCACAACGGATGTTCAAGACACTGTGGATAGGATCCGTCTACGTCCCCATAAAAACTGTCCAGTTATACGAACACACTCAAATACAGCAAGGGGGGAAAAAATCACCACAAGACGATCTAACAATTGACAAGCGTGAAATGAAAATCATGTGACTTCCTGCGAGGTTTAAGCTCTGTTCATTAACATCCTCATTTGTGACGCGGAAACATAATTGCGGTAATCAATTTCCCCAAATGTTTACAGCTCCTCTTAAAGTGTTTCCTGCGACGGAGTGAGCGACGTTCACGAACGAGGCCTCGGTTTCCCCCGTTGATTATTGAACATCTTGTCTGGTGATCACGTGCCATCATATGTGCTAGACGAGAGTACAGTATGGTGGGGAATGTTCACTAAATCACAAACTACAGCTCTATGTACAGACAGTATACAAAACACAATCTGAGAATTCCATTAAAATTTCAACCATAAAAGCTCAGAGGGGATCAACTTAATGCCATGACATCAATCAAATCCAAACTCAGGTGCTTCTAAAAACTTTAAAAAGTGAATTCCTATGCGACTATGAAACAAACAAAACCATTCACAACACAAAAGATCGATACAGTCATAAGATAAGGCTATTAAGACCCAGTCATCCCAACATGCAAGGATAAGACTCAAAGCGGTCAATAAAACAAGAACAAACCATGAGGATGAGTCGAATAATAAGACTAAAAAACACAAGATTGAAACACGAGAGGTGAGCTGTTGCTGATGTGTGCGGTTATTTTACAGTACTCTGTACCCTGTTTGTTCCTCAAATATATGAAACCTGACAAACTGACAGCAAAGTCACAATACTGAGGGACTATTATTTTGATTTGTGGTTTGTCGAAATGAGTGAAACTATGCAATATTTCGAAAAAATCCTTGGGTGAAAATTGACCTGAGTGTATGCTCTACCTCAAAACACGGACGCTCTGTAACCCCTCTGATATGTCTGCCTGAGCATACGGTTTACTTATTCAAAAAAAAGAAGGGTGCAAATTATTAGAAAGAATAAGAAATCTAAATATAGGTGATTTTATTATTATCAGTATTATTATTATTATTATTACACTCCTCATGTCAGAGAAGGCTTTTGGTCACAATCAACTACCAATTCCAAACTGGAAAAATAAAATTAAGAAAATACAGATTTCAATAAAGTCGAACCCAAAATATATCCCCGAAATTTATTTTTAAGTGGTATAATTATGACTGGCCAGTCATTTCCTAGCTGTTTGTGCATGTATCTGTTCTGATGCCGTTTAAAAAGCGAGTGAGCGCGTGGGTGACTCAACAGTGCTCCAGCGTATGAGGCATGTGTTCATCGTGATGTATTGGAGGTGTTAGGAGGAGGAAAAGGAGGAGGCTGGGCTGGGATGGGACACAGGCAGACATTTTTATGCCGACTTTGTTATATCATCTGTCTCCTTGGAGGCCCAGAGCTCTTTGTGCTGCTTGCGTCCGAAGCCCTCGTCGTAGTTGCCTTTGCTTTTGAACAGCTGCTGAAAGTGGGGTTTACAGTAAAATTCACCTTGAAGAGCGGCGAAGGAGCCAAGGCTGCAGAGAGGATAAATGAAACGGTTATAAATAAACCAAAAAAGGAGTCAAGTAAACACATAGGAAGGCAGTAAACTAAATATAGTCACCTGAGTTTGGCGTTGCAGTGCTTGCAGCAGAAGCATGCTGAATGGAAGACCAGGTTGTTGGCAACCAATCTCTCCATTGGATAGACCGTCTTCTCACATGTTGCACACACTTCCTTTTGGGCCTTAAAGCTGAAGGACTGAGCACATAAACACACCGGTTTACTACCAGACGCACAGGCAGGCGGCGATCTAGGCCTCGAGACGAAAGCCGACATTTACAAAAAAGACACACAAAATGCAGGGAAAAGATCTTCCTTCGGCTCATAAGCTGCTCCAATTACAAATCGAATTTTGATCCATGATTAATAGCGTTTTGGCAAAAACACGATCTCAAAAAACTAATGAAAAAATTCG